CTGTCACTAAAGGAGCACTATAGGGTTAGGAACACAAACCACCATCTAGCCAACCTGGTCCCCTCATGCCTCCATAAATATAGTAAAATCGTACTTGAATACAAGCCTGCAGTTGCATAGTTTGTCCCTGTTTTCCTTAGACCTGCCCATTGCCTGCTGACATCATCAGAAGTGGTAGCCTGATCCAATCACAATGCTTTCCCATAGGATTGGCTGAGACTGACAAAGAGGCAGATCAGGGGCAGAGCCAGCATGATTGAAACACAGCCCTGGCCAATCAGCATCTCCTCAGAGATGAATTGAATCAATGAATCTCTATGAGGAAAGTTCAGTGTATGCATGCAGAGGGAGGAGACACTGAATGTTTGGATACATTTTAGGCAGCCATGACCCAGGAAGCTACTGCAGAACACCAAACACACGAACCGCCAATAAGTGAATGCTCCAAACTCCCGAACGGCATCCAATATAGCACTCCAAACACACGAACAGGAACCATACGAATTGCTGCTAGCAGACGAATAGGAAAAGCATCCAAGCGGCTTACACTCCTAGCAATCAGTCTCTATCAGCATTCAGTAAATCCCCCCAAAGACGAGACAAGGCTCCGTGTTGAGGGTCAAGCAGTGGTCTGTTTAATGAGGGCTACCTGCCCAGTATTTATGCAGGTCTCCCACCTGGTGGACACTCCCCTAGGGGACCAAATGGGAGACTGTGACAAGGGACAGACAAGCAGACAAATAGGACACACAGTCACAATATATTCCCACAATGCATCCTGGCTTCCTCCCCTCTGCCCTGGGAGATAATTGAGAAGTAATTCAATTATCTCCCAAGACAAAGGCAAATCGCCATTATGCACGTGGGGATACTAAAACAAGCATTACTGTTAAAATATACCAGGCAAGACACATTACCTTAAAACTATACATTTAACATATCCCCAGATAGCTCAGGTCTGAGCGCACATTATTAAGTGAAGGGCGCTCAGACCACACGAATACAGTTTAATCGCCATGGAGCCAAAGTCTTTAATTCCACGAACAGGCTCCATGGAAGGCTATCTGGGTACTTGTACACCGAATACAAACGCAGCACTAAAAGTCCCAAATGCTCCGTTGTTCAGTTCCCGAACGGGTTTGCAGACTTCCAGCCTCAGCGGGGCTTGTAAGACAAAAGTGTCCGCTTTTGGTGTCCTGCCGCTGGGTAGAACAAGCGCTGGCTACCCGGGGAGCTTCCATAACACCGCCATCATGTGGTGGCTAGGTGTAACCGCGACCACCCAGTAATTGTCAATTAAGCTGCGGTTAACCGCAGCTTCAGGGAGGTTAATTGCCAGCACACTCCAGCTCCCAGGTGGTCTATTCATTCGTGCGGTTGTTCGGTAGATTGAATCTACCGAACAACTGGCAGAAAAGCACGAATACAGCTTTTCTGCAGGCGAAACAAAGTCTTTTAACATGGGGGCCATAGTCCAAAGGCAGCAGGCGAGCAACCAGGCTTCTCCAATGCAATGTGGAGAGATTGGTCTCGTCACAAACTGCTCAGGTTTTATCTTGTAATTATCTGCTAAAATGTCTTCCTATGCATGCAAAACTTATTATTACCCAAAAATGTGCTGTAATATTGACTGCCCTTCACTGTTTAACTATGTACTCTAATTCTCTTGCCACTGCCATTGGGGCAGCACAAGACTGTTGGTTCCTCTGATGCACAAAAACTAAAAAATTATATATATATATACACACAAATAATGACGATGAGAGCACTCAATGGATTTTCAAAATAACAAAGTGTATTTAAATGTTGCCAAAAAGGATCAATGCTTTATCAAGATCTTGATCAAGACCCTTAGGTCGAAAGGATCTTTTTTGGCAACATTTAAATACACTTTGTTATTTTGAAAATCCATTGAGTGCTCTCATCATCACTATTTGTCTTCATATATTCAGCACAGAGCAGCACCTTGGTGTAAGTTGATTTTTCTACTACTTCAGGATAGAGTGCCAGACTTATTGCTTTAAATATATATATATGTATATATATATATATATATATAGTGGATAGTTAATACAATGTTAAACAAAAATCTGCACACCAGTCAAGCCATAAGACTTGCTTTTCCCACAGAAATCCCAAATCTGCAGTGATGTTACAACCGCAAAGGATTCTGGGTGGGCATATGCAAATTAGTTTAACAAAGAATCACATTTTTGCCTCATTCCATTTTAAACATGGATTCCTTTTAATCTGTGTTTGCAGTATACAACTGCTTGGAACACAATTTAGGAAAAGATGCAAAACCAGTGAACCACTCATGGACAGCTGTTTCGTTGTTAATGCAACTCTTCAGCATGAGGTTGGTTACTGGTTTGCTTATTGAGGCTTGGTAGTGCTTGGGAAGCAAAATCCAAATCGGATATATATATATATATATATAAATAAAATATACCGGAACACCCTTAGCATTGTGCACTGGAACTCACAAAGATTGGATTGCATTTATTAAGTATTGGTGAAAAGTCTGCACACTATTAATATTTAAAGAATAACTAAAAACACAGAAAGGGAGTCCCTAAAATCTAGTTTGGTTGTCCACTAAACTAAGGGGTTTGAGTCTTTAAATGAGAGAATCAAAACCTAAATAAAAATGTTTACATGTACGCACACTTAGTAAGAAATAACTTCTATTATATTGCTTCAAAGATTTAGTAGCTACACCTAGTAATGTTCACTAATTCTTACATACAAGTGAAAGAAAATTCAGAATAAATAGCATGAATAAATAATGAAAGAAAAAGTATATACTAATCCCTATGTGTAATGCCTTACATTTGTCACTAGGGGTCATACTAACAGAGACTGCAGCAAAAAAACAACAAAAAAGTAAATGATGTAGTCAATTTAGTAAGGTTAACAAGGAATAATGCAGAAGGTGTAATACCCACAAATAGTCTCTAAGGATAATTGACACAGCTAAAATAGTAGCTATAAGGATATTTAATAATTATACCACAGTGAAGTAAAGGCAAAGAACAATGTGAGTGAAATAGATGTTCCCTGCACTTTCCTTGGCCAACAGGCTAAGTACAACTCAGTATCACTACTTATTTCCCAGCTGTCACAGACATTGAAAAAATGTCTTGAAGACACAGCACCAGAATGATTCATGCATAAGATAGTTATGAGAATGTAGCTAGCTTTTAGATAAGAGATTAATAACCGCACAGACCTGGCATGGTATTGTTGGTGGGGCTGGACAGCCTGGCCAGCTGCAGGTCCCATCCAATGCTTTTGCAAGGTCTTTGCTGGGCTGCACTGATAAGAAGATTTGGTGGAAAAGTACAGACTATTCACCCCTTTGATTATTAAGTTTCTTATAAAAGACTAGAAAACTTGGCACTCGTTTGGAGTACTACCCAGCTTAATGCTGGTTCTCCTGATTCCCAGTAAGAGAGGGTCCCCTTCAAGCCTGACTGTCAGAAGTTCTCTCAGTCGAGTGCAGCAAGCATCTCTTATGGTGATGTATACATTGATATTGTTTCTTTAACCCCTTAAGGACACATGACATGTGTGACATGTCATGAATCCCTTTTATTCCAGAAGTTTGGTCCTTAAGGGGTTAAGCTGTTTTTATTAAGCTGTTTCTTTGAGCTGTTCATTTAAGCTGAATGATTATTAATTAAGTCTATGTTAGTCAATAAGGTTTGTATTGATTATTTACAAGTTCTTGGTGTAGGCGTCTTTCCCTTTCTCAAATACTCAATTTATCCCGAATAGGGTTTTGGTGCCCACCAATATCTTTAAAACCCTTAGGGTAATTGATTATTGCTTTTTGATACTGGTGCTTCATGAATTTAATGATTAGGCACAACAACTGTAGTCCATTAGGCCTTGCTACCTACAGGATGAGAAAGAGCAAAAAAGAGGGACAGTAACAAACACAGTGGGTGAGAAATTAAAAGGGAGGAGAAGTAAGAGACACGGGTAGTTAAAAGACACATAGGGGAATAATCGACACAAAGGGGTTAAGAGACACGATGGGTACAGTGAGGAAACAAACATGGATTACAAAGCACATAGAAGTTAAGAGACACAAGGAGTTAAAATACACAAGTGGGTTTAGAAGTTTTTATTTTTTTAGTTTATTGAATGTCATGTGAATTCCTCTCTACTGTCTGGATGTAAGATCGTATTATTTATTATTTTTAAAAAAATTTAATAAAGAACAAATTTAGAAGAAAAAAAAGACACAAAAGGGGGGTTGAGACACATGGAAAAAGTAAGAGACACAAAAGGGGTAACGGACATAGGGGTAAGAGACACAAAAGGGGTAACAGACATAGGGGTAAGAGACACAAAAGGGGTAACGGACATAGGGGTAAGAGACACAAAAGGGGTAACGGACATAGGGGTAAGAGACACAAAAGGGGTAATGGACATAGGGGTAAGAGACACAAAAGGGGTAACGGACATAAAGGTAAGAGACACAAAAGGGGTAACGGACATAGGGGTAAGAGACACAAAAGGGGTAACAGACATATGGGTAAGAGACACAAAAGGGGTAACAGACACAAAAGGGGCTAAAGGCGCACTAAAGGAGTTAATATATTCAAAGGGGGATAAGAGGTAAAGAAGTAGGTAAGAAACCACAAAAGACGGATAAAGACACATAGGTGAGGCAAAATGTTGAGTTAGGGTGGCAAAAGGTTTACAATATGAATGAGATTATTTTTTTTTATTTATTTTTTTACACTATTGATACATGAGGCTTATCTTACCAGGTCTGTGTAAAATGATATTTGATTTAGAATAAGAAATAGGTACACAGAGGCATGGAGCAGTGTAGTGCCGCATATCCAGCAGTAGGGGTCACTGCAGAATAAAGCGCGCCGAGACGCATGCGTATCTTTTCAATGGGGGAGCCTAGGGTAATCGAGTGCCGACTCCCAGCCAAGAGTAGTGGAGCTCGGAGACGCAGGATGCATACTGGCTGCAGGATGGCTCTGTCCAGGGGGCTGAGGTGCTGCCAGAGAGTGCTGTCCTGGGTGCCCGTGCTCATTATCGCCCTGGTGGTGCTGTGGTCTTACTATGCCTACGTGTGGGAGCTGTGCCTTGGTAAGCTGTCATGGTGTCAGTGGTACATTGTCTGTGCTTTCATTGTGTGAGTGTCTGTCTGTCTGTGCATATATTGTATGTTATTGTATATTTCACCTGTGTCAATACATTGTATCAGCTGTTAGCTCTGTAACTACTGCTGGCTTGGGGACTTGTTTACATGTTTGATTACATGTCATTGGGAAAGCTAGTATTTCCTGCTGGGCTCTGATTTAACATCCGCATTTCAGGATTTATTTTCCTCCACAGATAACAATACAGTAATGGTTGATCCTCCCCCTGCTTTTTAATACATTTTATTTTTATTTATTTTTTACTCATTGTTATGTATTTTTGGGGGTGTGGGGAGAGGTGTGTTTTTGTTTTCTTTAACCCCTTAAGGACCAAACTTCTGGAATAAAAGGGAATCATGACATGTCACACATGTCATGTGTCCTTAAGGGGTTAAAGGGACACTATAGTCACCTGAACAACTTTAGCTTAATGAAGCAGTTTTGGTGTATAGAACATGCCCCAGCAGCCTCACTGCTCAATCCTCTGCCATTTAGGAGTTAAATCCCTTTGTTTATGAACCCTAGTCACAACTCTCTGCATGTGACTTGCACAGCCTTCCATAAACACTTCCTGTAAAGAGAGCCCTACTTAGGCTTTCTTTACTGCAAGTTCTGTTTAATTAAGATTTTCTTATCCCCTGCTATGTTAATAGCTTGCTAGACCCTGCAAGAGCGTCCTGTATGTGATTAAAGTTCAATTTAGAGCTTGAGATACAATTATTTAAGGTAAATTACATCTGTTAAAGTGAAACCAGTTTTTTTTTTTTCATGCAGGCTCTGTCAATCATAGCCAGGGGAGGTGTGGCTAGGGCTGCATAAACAGAAACAAAGTGATTTAACCCCTTAAGGACGGAGGGCGTACTATTACGCCCTGCAGGAGCCGGCTCTAAACGCCGGCGGGCGTAATAGTACGCCCTCACTTTAATGGCCGCCCACGTGGCCGGCGCTAATCGCCCGCTGCAGATCGCGGTCGGGGGGGATGCCCGGCCCCCCAGGCAACCCCCCCTGTGGCCGGTGACCGCGATCTGCAGTCACTGATCGCAGTGACAGGCTGTCACTGCGATCAGTTTTTTAACGTGTGTCAGCCGATTTCAAATCGGCTGACACACGTGGCCGGCGGCTTTCTGCAATGCAGATCGCGGTCGGGGGACTTACCTGGCCCCCCAGGCAGTCCCCTGGGGTCAGTGACCGCGATCTGCTAACTCTGAGATCGCAGTGACAGGCTGTCACTGCGATCTCAGAGCGCTCTGATCGCAGTGACAGCCTGTCACTGCGATCAGTGTTACATGTGTCAGCCTATTGGCTGACACATGTAACTGGCACAAAGATCCCCCTGCAGATTGGAAGGGGGGAGTGCTTGTACCACCCAGGCACTCCCCCCTGTGGCCAATTACCCAATCTGCAGGAGGTGATCACAGTGACAGGCAGTCACTGTGATCACTGATCCTGTGTGTCAGCCAGTGATGTAAAATCACTGGCTGACACTGTCTCTGCCCCCTGTCCTGTAATAAAAATAAAATATTAGTTAAAAAAAAATTACAGTTAAATATAAAATATACTTAGATCATATATATTATATATATATATGATCTAAGTATATATATATATATATACACACACACACACACACACACACACATTTACACATACACGAAGTGTATTTAAATATTAATATATATAATTATTTATATATATTACTATCAAATTACACGTAGACTAATACTGATTAAATATATATATATATAATTATTGTTATATATATATATTTATATATAATATAAAAAAAATGTAAATACGTAAAAAAAATAAAATTAAAAAAATAATTAAAAATAAATAATAAAAAAATATATAGATGTTTGTTATTTCGTTCTAACTGTATTGTGATATTAATATATATATATTTATATCAAAATACACGTAGAACGAAATAATATATATATCTATATACATAAATATATACATATATATATCACTAAATATATACACCTATATATAAATAAAAATATTTTAAAAAATTATATATATATATATGTATATATACACATATGTATATATATATACATATATTAATTCTACACATATATTTATGTAATATTTTTACATAATTAGGTATCCTAATTAATTACAATTAGCGGGACCTGCCTGACAACCCATGCCGAAAGTATAGGGAATTTAATTTGCTAGCACTATATTTAACCCTATAACTTTCCAAGACACCATAAAACCTGTAAATTGGGGGTACTGTTTTACTCGGGAGACTTCGCTGAACACAAATATTAGTGTTTCAAAACAGTAAAATGTATTACAACAATGATATCGCCAGTAAAAGTGAAGTTTTTGCATTTTTCATGCACAAACAGCACTTACACGGATGATATTATTGCTGCAATACTTTTACTGTTTTGAAACACAAATATTTGTGTTCAGCGAAGTCTCCCGAGTACAACAGTACCCCTCATGTACAGGTTTTATGGTGTTTTCAAAAGTTACAGCGTCAAATATAAGGCTTGTGTTTCATTTTTTTTCACATTAAAATTCGCCAGATTGGTTACGTTGCCTTTGAGACCCTATGGTAGCCCAAGAATGAAAATTACCCCTATGATGGCATACCATTTGCAATAGTAGACAACCCAAGGTATTGCAAACAGGGTATGTCCAGTCTTTTTTAGTAGCCACTTAGTCACAAACACTGGCCAAAATTGGCATTTTTTTGCATTTTTCACACAAACAGATACTAACGCTAACTTTGGCCAGTGTTTGTGACCAAATGGCTACTAAAAAAGACTGTACATACCCCATTTGCAATACCTTGGGTTGTCTACTATTGCAAATGGTATGCCATTATGGGTGTAAATTTCATTCCTGGGCTACTATAAAGTCCCAAAGGCAACGTAACCAATCTGGCGAATTTCAATTTCAAATGTAACGTGCTATATTTGACCCTGTAACTTCCTAAAACGCCATAAAACCTGTACATAGGGGGTACTGTTTTACACGTGAGACTTTGCTGAATACAAATATGTGTATTTTATTGCAGTAAAAGCAAACCGTATTATGACATTGACAGTTAAAATGTCATGTAGAACTAAAAAAATTAAAAAAATCTTATTTTCTCCCATTTTTCATATTAAATTATGTTTCATAGCTAAATATTTGATATTAAATGAAAGCCCTGTTTCCCCTGAATAAAATGATATATAATAAGGGTGGGTGTATTTACTATGAAAGAGTTGAATTACGGTTGGACAGACATGTAGCGCAAATGCCAGGTTTTGTTTACATTTTGTTTCGTTCACACTGTGTACATTTGGCTCCGTCCTTAAGGGGTTAACTCCTAAATGACAGTGAATTGAGCAGTCAAATTGCAGGGGAATGAGCTATACACTAAAACTGCTTTATTTAGCAAAGTTATTTAGGTGACTATAGTGTTCCTTTAAATGTATCTTTGGAGTCTGGGGTTTTACTGCTGTCATGCATACTTTTGCTCATTTTGATTTGTGTATTTCTACACTTTGATATTTCTTCCTTTTTAGAGTGTAAGGGCTTTTGGATTTTAATATTGTTTGCCTTTAACGTAACACCCTTTGTAATATTAGTACTTTAGATTAAAACATATAATATACACTTGCATGCAAGAACGAGAAAGCGGAAAGCAAAACTCAATTTGGCACAGGTGTATTCACAATTATGTTAATTATACAACTATTTATTGTACATTGGCATATCCATTGGGAGCCAATGTGTTTGTATCTGGGGACGTGCATGTTTTACACGTATGTTCTCCGTTTAAATTAGTAGTTTATCGAGGTAACTTGACAGATACACAGAAACAGCATGAGTGGTCAGAAATGGGTTAAAGAGACAAAGTATACAATTCAATAAGTAGATGGCAAATTTCCGATTGTACAGGCGTATTTAATAGGAGAAATAAATACTCTGCATTAATAAACAGGTTCTCAGGGAGTGTTATGGGAATGTTTTATAAAAATGGGGAAACACAGAAGGGAACAAGTTGTATTTGTGAATCTTGATGATTGAAAGTGGGCTTTTGTTCTTTGACATGCGTGAGCCTATGTCAGGTTTGGGGATCAATATTTGACAGTGCTACAAAAAAAAAAAGAATATCAAGGTTGCTTTAGGCCTAGAACTCTGTAGGATGACACATTTTATTGTGTTCATCCTATCGTTTGAGGTTCCTACAACAGCGGTTAAGGGAGCACTCCAAACACTGGAACCACTACAACCTGGTGTAGTAGTTATGGTGCCAAAAGTGCCGTGACTACCTCTAAGAAAAAGTAGTCAAACTGTCTGCAAATGGTTTGATAACTTCTCTTGGGGATGCCTGTCACCTCGTCTTCTGCTGATGAAACTGAAGTAACATTAGTCAAGCACAGCATGGCAGAACTTTAGATCGGTGGAATTAACAGAAGCTAATAGCAGGAGCTTCCAGCTCCAGAAGAGGCTGTGAGTTGCACCTGACAGACCAGACCACAGGTAAGTCCTCAAACTGTTCACAAGAAGCTTGGCTACTTGTCGTGGGAAAGGTGCCAGGGGCACTGCAGCCACCATAATCACTGCAGCAGGCTATAGTGGTTATGGTGCTTGAGGTATTCCACTAAACACAGTTCCTGTTTTTGTAGCATTGGTAGAAATACAAGTGGAGTTATATAATGACTAGGAAAAATTCCGAGTTTAAAGTGAATTTCAAATTTAAGGCCATAGTAGCTGAACTGAAAGCATACCTGCCTTGGAGAATATTTCCAGTTTGGCTATTTTGACCTTAGATTTGAAAGGCACTTTGAATTCTCTCTTTAGTAAATATCTGTATCATTATTATTAGCTTTGTAACTGTTTGATCCCTTAAAGACCAAGCTTCAGTTTTATGGCGTTTTTGCTATGTGTGTGTTTAACTGTAGTTTCCATCTTTCTCATTTATTGTGCAAACACATATATTTGATGTGACATATAAGATACAATTTTTCACTTAATGTTTACAAAATTAGTGCAGCTTAATTGCACACTTTAGTGTTAGGAATGCAAAACTAAAGTTTTTCTCTGCCTTCCCATTACTTGCGCCCTCCCCCACCTGCAAATAAAAGTTTAACAAAACCATTTTACACTCGCCAAGCGGGAACTTGATGTGCAGTGAGTGCCACTCACACATTAGACCTTCACCATAGGAGAGCATTGATTCAATGCTTTCCTATGGGGGATTTGAAGATGCTGGATGTCCTTCTACAAAGTAATCCTCATCCAGCAGTCAAACTTCGTGAAACAGCAGGATGTTTTAGATTGCAGAGTTAAGGGGACAGGGACATGGCAGTCAGACCACTTCAATGAGATGAAGGGGTGTGGGTGCCTATAGTGTCACTTTAAGAAAAGTAATTTTAAAAATAATTCATTTATTTGTTCTGATTTACAGAGTACATCATATGTCTAGGATTTCAGTTTATTATTGGTAGTCTCTTGTCAGGAAATATAAGGAGCGAAATACAATTTCAATGTGGAACAAGTTTAGAATTTGGCATTTTTGCCTTATAAATTCACAGAAATCAAAATTGTCACACAAAAGTATTTTTATAAATGCATCACAGGATATTTACCGAGGCTTATTTTGACATGTTTCAATCCTGTGCAATACCCCAAATTGTGTTCAGATACCTTTACAGAGGACAACAATACCCCAAGTATGCTTTTGTCACTATACTGTAAAGTTACAGTGCCATGTAAGAGACCAGACAATATTCATTTACAATTAGAATTTTGAAAGGTGAATTTGATGCGTTTTGTGTTACAATTTGGGGCTTTGTAGCAGTTTGACTGTTCAAATTACATCAAAAGGAATACCATTTGTGAAAGTGCACACTCCATGGTATGTCATATGGTGTATATTGTGCCTTATTATGCCACCACTTTTTCACCAGTTTTTCAGCAGAGGGATTCCTTGCTGGTCCTAATCCTAATACAAATCCTAAACCTAACCATAGCCCTAATCCTAGCAATAGTGTTGATTTCATCAGCCTTGCTCGCATCAGCGCTCTGCACTTTATAATTGTACCATGAAAGGGACCCCTCACATGCTGCAAGTATAAAACCGCAACAGTCACACATCACAAGGACCGGGTTCAGCCACAGTAACTTAAAGGGCTCTATGCAGTTCTCACTTTGACAGAAGTGTTCTTAAAGGAACACTATAGTGTTAGGAATACAAAACTGCTTTCCCATGGGGATTTGGAGCAGCATGACGATGTCCAGCGTCGTTTCACGGAGTTAAATTGAGTGAAACTGCAGCAAGCACCTCTAGTGGCTGTCTGAGAGACCGCCACTAGTGGCAGTCGTAACCCTGCAATATAAGCATTCTGTAAAACTGCAATGTTTTAGATTGCATGGTTAAGGGGACAGGGACACTGCACCTAGACCAGTTCAAGGACATGAAGTGCTCTGGGTGAGTATCTTTAGGGGGATAAATAATGTAGACAGAATGGTTGAAACAGGCAATGCAAATAGAAAGAAATAATTTTGGTTTCAGTAAATTGAATCTGATAGGCGTTATTTTGTAATGCACTCTTTCTATTTTCCTCCACAGTAACTGTAACATACCCATTGGAAAAAGGTAAGTGATTGCTATATGTAATATATATATATATATATATATATTTATTTATTTTAATTACTGGTAATGTAATTCATGCGTGTGTTAAATGTAGGACAACCATATTCCTTTTCAAAGGCAAAGTTATTTGTAAGACGCTTGGATATCAGCTTGACTAATTTTTTCAAAATACAAACAGTTTTCTCCCCCAAACGAATCGTGTCTGCTTTCAGTCTTGAAAACGGGCAGTGGTTCAACCAGTGACATCATCAGGTATGTCTGTATTGCTGTCTTTTTTATTTTTTTTTTATTTTTTTTTTACTAAATAAATTGATTATACTGATATGGAGAGAAAACAGGTCTCTGCCTCTAAAGGAATAGTCAGAGATTCTCAGGTAAAGATGCAGTCTGATGAACTAGTTCCTCTGTAGACTACATAATGTATGGCCCATGATCACTCCCAGCCTATCATTTATGGTCTACTTTTGATCATATGCCATCGGTTTATAAATACAGAGTGCTTATGCCATAACACAAAATAAATTTTTGTAAGATTGGTAATTTATGGGTATTTGTTGTCTTTGGGAGCTAGGAATACATGGGACGCAAATTTGGCCCTTCGTGTAAACCTGAATGGTAAAGCTACAAAGACACAACATTTTACAATTTTTATCATACTTATTTACAGTGTCTGTATGTTTTAAAGATTTCATATTCTAATCATGTGCTGCTCCCAGGGTAAAACGGTATAGGAGCCAGTAGGCACTCTGTGAGGGAAAGTCATTGGAATGTTTATTTGGCACATTTGCCAATAAAGTTGTCGTTGCTTGTCTTAGACTAGTGTCTTGTTAATTATCTTGATTTTTGTGTTTTTTGTTTTTTTCTTTCTTTCCATAGTTATATACCTTATCATTTTCCATGCTGTTTTTCTGATCTTTATTTGGACATACTGGAAAGCAGTTTTTACTCCCCCAAAGCAACCAAGTAAAAAGGTAAGAAGCCTTTTGTGAAAGATAGAGTTGTGTCTCAAAGTATATGATAGTTTCCATGATGGCGTCGTGCCCAAAACAGTTTTGTGAAAGAACATTTTGTAGACTTAAAGCTCTCCCACCTTTTGGGGTCTTTGCATATTTTGCAAGGATCTCCAATGATTACACAGGCGCATGGTGTGTGGTTGCCCGGGGGTGCGGCATAGGTGAGGTATAAATGTATAATGCTGCCCCTGCGAGTGCCGCCATCTCCTTTCTTCAGCTACAGGCTCTTTATCCTCCAGGAGCCCCCATCAGTGCTCTATTTTCGTGCAACACTGATGTCTGTGTCCTACAAGATAACCGGAAACTCCATAGATATTGTCTCATGGCAGCGAGACCATGTCCATTTCCCACTGCCGTCACTATGGGGGAATAAAACTTTGATGGTGATAGCTCTGCCTTTTGTCAAGTGGAGGAAAAATACATCAAAGTACCTTTTTTTTATTTTTTATTTTTATTTTTTTATTTTTTTTTATATAATGATCTCTTTTGAATGTATTAGAACTTAAGTGAAATTCCAACAAAGTCAATGTGAATATGTCATAAAGAGTTTCTCTATGTAATACTCACAATGTGGGGTGGGATTGTCCCTTTGACAACATTAATAAAACACTGAAATTCACCTATAACTTATGACATGTTAAGTTTTCTTTTACATTTATATTAAAACATTTTCAGATGACATCGTAACCCAGTTCAGACAGGGCAACGAAAGGACAAACATTGCAAATGAAGAGAAAATTAGAACCATTATGTAATTTCTCCTTTCTCTATGCTGATGGCACTTATAACAATAATTGGCAGGGAGCTAATGTGGATTTCTACATTTAATTTTATTTTTCACACCTCACAAATACATATTTGTTAAATACAGGGATAAGTAAACATATTAATACAAACCCTAGGAAATGACGGTTCCCCTATAAACCAATTAAAGCCAAGTTCTAACACTTCTAAAGTAAACCCCAAACTGTAGTAAACTGAAAAGTAAATTGTAAAGTTTAGGCTTAAAATAGCCAACCTGGGACTTTAGGAGAGTTGAAGACGTTTTCTAAATCAACCAAATGTTGCAATTTAAAAGTCTATTTTTGTTTTTCAAATCAGTCTTCACCCTGTAAAGCATAGAAAGGTATGAGCAGTGATATAGTATTTGTTATATTATGTGCTGCTCTGTGATTCAGATGGGCCCTGATCCAATTCAGGCTTGGTGATTGTTTGTGACTCTGTATGTAATTGTGGTTTCAGTTTTTGCTGTCCTATGCAGAAAAGGAGCGATATGATAATGAGGAAAGTCCAGACGCTCAGAAGCAAATACTGGCGGAGTTTGCAAGGAAATTGCCAGTTTACACCAGGACTGGGAGTGGAGGTCAGTATATCCCTTTCCATTTATGGGTCTTGGAGGAAATGTTCCCTTTCCCAGATCCTACTACAGTCTTTACAGTCCCTCGCAACCTTCACAGACTTGTTTTAAGCAAGAGAAATATAACCACAGTCAGAAGTCCAGATGCAGTATCTCATTTGCAGGTTTGATTCGGGACAAGATCAACTATTATCTCTACCGAGGTCAATAAAATGAAAACCATTATAGGACCACTATAGGCACCCAGACCACTTCAGCTTAATGAAGTGGTCTGGGTGCCAGGTCCATCTAGGATTAACCCTGCCTGCTATAAACATAGCAGTTTCAGAGAAACTGCTATGTTTACATTTGGGTTAATCCAGCCTCTAATGGCTGTCTCACTGACAGCCGCTAGAGACGCTTCTCACTGTGATTTTCACAATGAGAAGACGCCAGCGTCCATAGGAAAGCAGTGTGCCACGCATGCACATTCAGCCGATGACGAGAAGGAGGAGAGTCCAACGCACGGCGCTGAGGTAAATTTAACCTCTTCCACCCCCTAGAGCCTGGCGGGAGGGGGGCCCTAAGGGTGGGGGGGACCTAAAGACCCTATAGAGCGAGGAAAAAAGTGTATGTTTTCCTGGCACTATAGTGGTCCTTTAACCTGGGTATTGAGAACATGTAAACTCCAAGGTATTTTTTCAAAATGTCAAACCCTCAATGTTTTAAATACTTTAATATTATTTTTACAACAAGGTGCAATATTTCCACTTGCCCACTTGCCATTGGCATATGAAAATTCAGCCATAGTTAGTGTGCATGGACCCTCCAGCAACAGGTGGCCTTTATGAAATATTCTCGTTGGAGGTTAAACCTGCTAGCTGTATGGTTTCCTAGAAAAGGGTAGGTCAGCGGTTCCCAAACTGTGTGCCGCAGCGCCCTAGGGCACTGCGATGTGGACACTGGGGTGCTGCGGAATGTTTCCACGGTGCTATGATTATAGCACGGGTGAAACATTACTGCTGAACAGGGGCCCGGTCAGGTGCCACGGTCCTTTTAAGACCAGGACCGGACCCCTGTAATGTCAGCCGGGTGGAAGGAAATTACAGCCTGCCCCTTTCTCCCAGCATCCTGCAGGGAGGCAGCGGGAGAGGAGCACTAAGAGCTCCCGACCCTTCACTCCCACCAGCAGCAGGACTCCAAGCCACCCTCCTGGCACATAAGGTAAACTGGCAGGAGGGTGGCTGGAGATATTTTAAAAAATCACAAAATACAGGCACACTCCTGCAATCTTACTCAAGTATTACATACACACACCACTGCATTCAAACTAAAAAAAAAAATATATATATATATATACACACACAAATACTTCACACAACTGTACATCCGCATTTAAAAGTGAACATTACATTCAGACACACCCCTGCAATCAAACGCAAACATTACACACAAACACACCCTGTATTAAAACACAATAACTATATACAAGCACCCCTCCAAACACCAACACTGTACATTACACTATAGCGCCAGTAAATGCCACAGCGCTGTACAGATCTGCAACCTAGAAATTTTTACTTGGGGTGCCTTGGAAAAATACTGAAATATTAAGGGCGCCTTGAACCTAAAAAGTCTGGGAACCACTGGGGTAGGACATTGATGGCCAACATTGGCATGCAAGCTGTAGCGAAGCACGTTTTCCATGATGCTTATTTAGTTATAAAGCCGGCTGAGCATTGTGTGAAATGTAGTTCTGAATTTTCTGGTGTTTCAAGGCTAGGCATCACTGAAGTATGACCAAAGCTATACATATAGCTTGATGTCCACTAAATTCTACTACTTGCAAACATAGCTATTGTTTTATTTACTTCTAAAAAAATAAAATACCTGTATACTAACTGCAGCAAATAAATACACAAAAACTATTTTTTTTGTCTTTTTTTATTTGTTTGCATTATGTTTTAATAAAGTTTCAAACTCTATCACTGTGCTCAGTTTGTCCCCACACAGCAGTGCCCAGGTGAC